TAAAAAAATTGGGTTCCTAATTTATTTAAAGGTCACCCATTAAATGATTTTATTCCTTAACCTTTAGCTTCACTTTATACCTTACCTTACAAAGTCATTTAACCATACCATTTTAAGTTCACATTCTTTTATCATGAACTTTTAGTTACTAACTCAAGTAACTATTTAGCTATTACATTTATTATTCCTTTAATTAATTCCTTCCTATAATCAATTATTCCCTTTAAACCATATTGATTAGCCAAGTAACCATTTAGGTTAACAAGTTGTGTAACTACTCGATCCATACGTAAATATCAAACTTTTAACTTTTTAATCATATCATTTATTAATACATACCACCATTTGCTTAACTTACTACCAAATAGAAATAGCCCAAAATTAAGTTAAGAAAAGGTAAAATTCTTCACACTATAACACATTAAGCACACAAAACGGCAAGTTTTCATCTTTTCTCAATGATGGTCTTTAATCATCTTTCTTTTCTCCTACACGATAAGAAATAAAAGTGAGCAATGCCCAATAAGTGTAATCCGTGCAATGCATGTGATGCACATGATGCAAATTTTAGAAAAGCATTTTCGTGCTTTTGAAATTTATTTTTCTATTTGATCGCACCTTGTCGATTGTATATATAATCGGCACTTTATTAAAACATGTATTTTGTGAAAAATCACAAAAAGAACTAGGTACCTTCCCATAACCTCAACATACTAAGGATGCCCTTTCTTCTAAAGAGAAGGTGAACATTCCTCCCCCATAACTTCAAGAAGGTGCCATGCCATTCCTTTTTGAAAACCTTTCCCTTTCCTTTTCCTTTAATCAAAATCATAAATGTAAAACCTCTTTCATAATTATGATGTGCAAATAGATTTAGCATAAACCTCAACATACATATTTTCAAATCTTCAAGAACATGTAACATAATCATACATCAAATACATGTTTCATAGGAAACAAGTATGCATGCAAACATCAACAAACAATAAACATAATTCATGCCTTAAATACACATTTTGGACGAATGTTTAAGCAACATAATTCATCCATTTTTCACATGATTATAATCATTTTTCTTTCTATTTTATACCTCTAAACCTCAAAATTACATTAACCTCAAATATACCTCTTTTGCCTTTGATTTTCATTCTTGGCTGAAATTGACCAATAGAAGGATAACTTTCATTTCTTCATTTTACCTCAATTTTTCACCTCTAACCTCTTAACCTAATATGTTTTTCATCATTTTAAATCAAATAGGTTGAGTTTCCATTCAATCTAAATCTTCTAGCTTGGCCAAAATTCATCTTAAATTGACCAAGTTTAATGTTTCCCATTTAACACCATAAACATCTTGAAAGCATTTCATCTAACATCTTGTAAACATTAGATTTTAAAACCACTAATTTATTCAAGTTTAAGAATACCTAACCACCTTTTTCTAAGAATAACAAAAACCTCAAAACTCAATCATTTAATCCAATCAAACATTAAATCATCATAATTCAAACCACATAATTTCATATCTACTAATACAACTATCAAAATCGAACAACAATATTGTTTCACCAACAATTAAACTATTAAACCTCAAGCGATATGATTGAGTCAACAAAGAAATCAAAGCAAATGAAAAGTAAAATGATAATCTGGAAAGGAATCGTGATTTGCATATATTAGGAAATAATAATAGCATTTTTTTCTCTCCCTAACCCCAAAGTCCTAATAGAATCTCTTCATACTAAAAGTTTTTTTCCTCACATCACTCATTCTCCTATTTTATTCTACTAGTGGCATAACAAACTCTACCACATCAGCATAATAGAACAAAAGGCACCCACAACAATAGAACACATAATTCACTCACACAAAACATATATGTAAAACGTCGGAGGCAATATCAATACTTGGCCCGGTTCCTCTCCCACATTCTCCTCGAGTAGACATTTCGGATAGGAGGAGTTGGGCCCTTATCAATACTCCCTCGTGCACATTCACCTTGTCCTCGAGGTGGAAGGAAGGAAATTATGTTGTAATCAACTCTACGGGTTCCTATGTGGCTTCAAAATCCGAAAGATGCTTCCACTTAATCAACACTTCCTTGTCCGTAGGTCCGTCCTCGTATTGCAAATCCATCTCGAGCTCAACTTCCCACTCGAATTTAGCATTCAAGATTAGGGATAAGGGTTGGATGAGAATAACACTCCCTACTACTTTTTTAAACTAAGACACATGAAATATCGGATGTATAGCAGCTATGAAAGGAAGATTAAGCTTGTAGGCAACTTGTCCAATATGTTACGGAATAGGATAGGGCCCAAAAATATGGGGGATAACTTTTCATTTGGTTTCCGAGCTAAGGAATCTTGACGATATGGTCTAAGTTTGAGGTATACTTGGTTGCCCACTTCATACTCCACCGTTTGACGATGGTTATTGACTCGTTTCTTCATCACGTTACGTGCCAGTGCAAGTCGTTCCTTGAGTTCATTCAAGCATGAGGTCCCTTTCTTGGAGCATTTCATTAATACTAGAGTTGGCGAGTGCCTTACGGTTCATATCGTAGCGAGGGTGGTGGTTCACATTCATAGACAATATGAAATGGGGAGTGCTTTGTGGTTGTATGAAAGGACGTATTATACTAGAATTTGGCCTAGTGAATCCATCTAGACCGGTCCACGGGTTTGCCACTAGAAAAGCAATGCAAGTAGGCCTTAAGATAATGGTTAACAAGTTTACTTTGGCCATCACTTTGAGGGTGATAAGATGTGCTTCTCCTCAACTTGGTCTGCTGTAATCGAATAATTCCACCTAAAAATTACTCATAAACACTTTGTCACGGTCCGAAATAATTGGCCGTGGGAAGCCATGCAACTTTACCATATGAGAAATGAACTCTTCGACCACTTTCTTAGCAATATATGGGTGTTTCAGCGAGTATAAAGTGAGCATACTTACTCAAGCAATCTACTACCACCGACGATGGAGTCGAATACATGTGATCTCGGTAACCCCTTTATAAAATCCATGGCTATATCCTCCCACACCGCTTGAGGAAGAAGTATTGGCTGCAACAAGCCACTGGGGACGATGTTTCATATTTGTTTTGTTGACAAGTATGACATTCAAAAAAAAAAAACTTTTTCACATCGGCCTTTAATCCTTCCCAATACAATTCCGCTGTGACTCTTTTATAAGTCTTCAAGAATCCCCCATGTCCCCCAATAGGACTACTACAATGGAACTCAACAAGGATTTTTGGAATCAATGGGGAAGTTTGAGGGAGTACTACTTGTTGTTTGAAGCAAAGGGAGCCATTCTCAACGGACTAGCTTAGTTTGGCGTTAGCATCAACTAACATGTATCGCATAATCGGTGGTAGTTTGGGATCCAAACTCACCTCATGTTTAATCTTTCCCCAATCCAAAATAGTAGGAATAGATAACACCTACAACTCGCCCTCGAAAGGACCCAAGAGAGAGCATCCGTCGCTTTATTTTCAATGCATGGTTGGTACCGAATCTCAAAGTCATACATTGTTAATTTGGTGAGCCAACGTTGGTATTCTAGGGCCACCATACGTTTCTCTAAGAGATATTTTAAGCTTCGTTGGTCCGTTCTCACCACAAAATGCCCGCTCAAGAGATAATGGTGCCATTTTTGTATGGCGAAGATGATGGTCGTCAATTCTCGCTCATATACTAATTAGAATCGAGCGTGACCTATTAGAGCCTAAATGAAGAAAGCTATTACCCTACCATGTTAGACCAGGACCGCCCCTATTCCCACACCCGATACATCCGTCTCTAGCTTAAAAACGAGCATTAAAATCGAGTAAGGCTAATATAGGTATTGATTTCATAGCCTCTTTTAATTGTCAAACTATAGTTGTTGCTGCCTCATTCCACTCAAAATTATCTTTTTTTAATAGCTACATCGTGGGGGTGCAATCTTTCCATAGCCTTTCACAAATTCTTATAGTATCCCATTAAACCGAGAAAGCCCCTCAACTTTTTGGAAGTTTTAGGAATAGGCCGGCATCTATTGCTCGTACTTTCTCCGGGTCCGCGACTAATCCTTTCTCCGAAATGACATGGCCTAGATATTCTAACTCATTTTTATAGAAACAACACTTATTGAAATTGGTGAACAACTCATGAGTGCCTAAAATGGTCAAGACCTCGATCAAATGTGATAAGTATTCCTTAACGAATTGCTATAAACAAGTATATCGTCAAAGAAAACGAGGACATACCTCCTTAACGACCCCTTAAAGATTGAATTCATCAAGGATTGAAATGTTTTCAAGGCATTCATCAACCCAAAGGACATAACCAAGAACTCATAGTGCCTTTTATGAGTGTGAAAAGTCGTCTTGTGCACATCTTAAGGCGGAATGCGTACTCGATGGTATCCCGATTTTAGGTCAAACTTTATAAAGATCTTAGCTCCATGGAGCTCATCAAGTAACTAATTTATGTTCGGAATTGGAAAATGGTCCGGAATTATAGCCTTATTCAAAGCTCGTAGTCGACATAAAACCTCCAACTCCCTGTCCTTCTTCATAACCAACGATGCTCGAACTCGAGAAAGGGCTAGAGCTAGGTTTGATAATCGCAGTCGATAACATTTTTACCACTAGCCTCTCTATCTCGTTTTTTTGTATCTAAGGGTATCTATAGGACCTCACATTGATAGGTAGGGTCCCTTCTCACAACACAATAGCGTGGTCATGACCATGGCTTATTGGTAGCTCTGTCGGGGTTTTGAACACATCCTCGAACTCGGATAGTAGACTTCGAATTGATGGGTGTACTTCAAGGGTGCTAGTGTGTTCAATAACCTCAATATGGCATAATTTCACTAATAGCCCTTCTTTCTCTTGTTGTATTGCCTTTACCATGGATTTAAGGGAAATCATGGCTTTGGTTAGACTAGGGTCACCTTGAAGCACTATTATTTTTTCAACCATTTCGATTGTCATAGTAAGTCAACACCAATCATCCTTCGACTCTCTCAAGGTTGAAAGCAACTTTAGCTTCGAGGATCACATCGGAGCCGCCAAGCTTTAGGGGAAGAAAATCGTCTACAATGGTCAAACCTTGCAACTTAAGAACCACCCCTCGCATATCCCCCGCCCTTTTAAATGATTCCTAGAACTAATAATTACCCTATAGTTGGGTATCTCAACAATAGGAAGTTTCAAGGTCTGTAATTAACTCGATGAAATGAAGTTGTATGTCACACCACAATCGATCAACACCACCATCAAAGTTCCCTCGAATTCTCCCTTCATCTCGAGGTCCTCGATTATGTCAATCCCACTACCGAGTTGAGGGATAGTTCCACACCTTGTAATTCTTCATCCGCCACTTCTTTTACTGCACATAAATCTTCTTCATCATCATCCCCTTCACTCAATAAGAGCACATATAGCTCTTTGTTCTTACATCTATGCCCGAGGTGCCATTTCTCATCACATCTATAACACGACCCTTGGTCTCGAAGGGATTGAGACTCCATAGCTAAAAGTCTCTTAAATCGGGTGTTGGTTTGTTTGTGAGGGATTGAGTTTTTGATTGGAGCTGCTATTGGATGGCTATGTAATGTAGGGCTTTTGTTGGTTTATTAAGTAGAAGTGGGAAGGTGTCGGATTGGATGAGGTACCTTGTGTGGTAATTATGATTTTGGATGGAGTCCATGTTATCGACTTCGTTTCATTTTGGTTTAGATTGAAGGGGTTCTTTAGTGGGTTTTGGGCTTAATGCTTGGGTCGAAGCTAATGCTTGGTTTCTATTCTAGAGGCCATCTCTATGGTTTCTTTGAGCCCAACTAGATTCCGAACGAGAAGCTCAACCCTTATCTTCTCTTGGAGCCCATTGACAAAGACTCGTCGATAAGGTGCTTGCCTCTAGTTTTTCGATGAAGGCGGCTAAATACTCAAATTGAGCTCTAAACTCAGCTACTTATTCCATCTTATTTCATGAAAAAAAAAGCATTACAACATAGTTCCTTCCTTTAGGCCGACAAAATGGTACAACTCGGTTTTCGGATCAGTCGACGTAAAAAAAGGGTATCCCTTTCTTCAAACCGAGCTAGGCCTAAGTCTCTCCTACGAAACATACTACGGTTGCCTCAAGTTTCTTAGAGTCGATGAGTTTTTTAATGGAAAAGTAGTGCTCGGTGTGGAAAATCCATGCTCTAGGATTTGCTCTGCTAAACATAGGTAACTCTAGATTCTAAGGGAACCGCTCTCCGTCCGCCACCGGTAACGTTACCACATTGGGTGGTGATCCAATTCTCGGGTCGGTAGGTTCTACACTACTCGACCTAGCACTACTTGGACTCGATTTGGGTGGTTTACGTCCCATGGCCTTTACATTCAACAACAATTCGTATACTTTAATGATTTTCCATCATCTATTGCACTATTATAGCTACCATCGCAATCAATTACGTCATCTGTTTCTTCGATCTAATTATCTCTTTCACTTCGATCTCTATTTATTCTATCCTCGAATCCATTCTCGTTTTGGTCATTACCCCTAGAAATGGGAGCTTTGATACCAAAATGATAGATTCAACAAAAAAATTGAAAGCAAATGAAAAGTAAAATGATAATTTGGAAAGGAATCATGATTTGTATATATTAGGAAACAATAATAGCAGTTATTTTACATAGTACTCGATGGCTTTAGAGAGGCTATTTTCTCTCCTTGACCCCGAGGTCCTAGTAGAATCTCTTCATACCAAAAGGTTTTTTCCTCACATCACTTATTCTCCCATTTTATTCTACTAGTGGCATAACAAAGCTGTACCACATCGGCATAACGGAACAAAAGGCACCCACAAGCAATAGCACACATAATTCACTCACACAAAACATATATGTAAAATGTCGGAGGCAACATCAATACTTGGCTCGGTTCCTCTCCCACTTTCTCCTCGAGTAGACATTACGGATAGGAGGAACTAGGCCCTTATCACAATATAACTTTAATTTAACATCAATTATACATTAAAAACACTATTTTCTTATGGTGTAGTGAGGATTACACTTACCTCACTTATTGCTAGACAAATCCTCCTTCCTTTTGGCTTGAACTTCTTCCTCCTCTTTTCCTCTCAAAATTTTGGCCCAAACCAAAGTTTTTTCTCTTTCTTTTTTGCTCCTCTAATCTGGTTCTAGGGTGATTTTGGAGCGTTTCAAGGTTTCCTAAGGTGGTTTGGTGGTTTCTTTCTTTGTTTTGCTTATTTTCTCTTTGGTGTCACCTTAAAGAGCTAAAGTTTCTAACCTCCTTTCCATCTTCTTCTTCCATATTTATAGCCAAGGTTTTTTCTTAAGATTAAGCCATGTGTAACATAATTTTTTTGATCTTAAACCATGGTGATTAATGGTTCTTTAGATTTTTCTTCATTTTTCTCTTTTCTTCCTTCTTTTTCCTTATATTTTTGCTTGATTTTTATCTTCCTTTCTTCCCTCTCTTTACTAGCTTTAGGAAGATATTTTCTTCTTCATTTTCCACCCAAATAAGTTCTGTAATTGTCTCCATAAAATCATTTAATTAGTCCCCTAAAACATTAGTATTTTACACTTTAGTCTCTAAACTTTTAATCTTTACAATCGGACCCCCTAATTTCAGTCCACAACTTCAAATTTCCCTCAATTTGGCCTTATCCTTGGCCTATTTCATGGATAATTTAAGTCTCTAAATTTTTTAATCATTTCAATTAAGGACCTAAACTTTCAATCTTTATGATTATGCCCTATGTCAAAGCATAACCATAATAATTTATGATGCCAATATCTAATTCAATCTTTTCTCATTCTATTGTTAGTTCCTTTCAATCATAATTGTGTTTACTTTATTCTTAATCAAAGTTTAAACTTTATTCATCACATTTAATAAATAACTTTTTTAATTAGACAAAATATCTTTATAATATATTTACATTTTAGGAGGGTTTTAGGTCATGAATATTACAAAAGAAGAGTCTATAGATTTGTTTTTTAAAGCTCAACTAACAAAGGTTGAGCATCACATAAAGCAGATTATTGACCAAAGATGAAAAAAGAGAATTTGAAGTTAAAGATAAGGTTTACTTAAAGCTTCAATTTTATAGACAAATGAGTTTGGCATTACGAAGAAACTTCAAACCGAACCTCAAGTATTTTGGACCTTATACCATTCTACAAAGGATAAGACATGTAGCTTACAATATAGAATTACCACTAGGAGCACTTATTCACCATGTCTTTCATGTTTCATTCCTTGTTGATGGTGGCCTACGGGAGCGACATAAGTCGTCGCTTAGCAAATCAAGGAAACCTAAGAAACCACTAAACATACTAGTCTACATAGATAATTAGATAAAGGATCGGTTATATATGAAGAAGATATAACATCATCATCATCCCATATTATCTAAGGTAAGCTACATTGAATGCATGGGAAAATAAATATATGATGTTTTGTTATTTTATATTTCTATGCCTATCTAATTGAGTTTATTTTATTGGGATATGATACCGGAGTAATTCCGAGCTTAGCTATTCTAAGGCCAATACCCATACTAAAAAGGAAATGTGGGGGAGGGGATTGAAAATTTGGTTAATCTTTAACAAATACAAGCCTATACTTGGTAAGTAGGTGAGTTTCTAAAGATTGATAGCCTTTATCGACATAAACGGTAAGTCATCGATAACTTCACTCACATTAATAGAAAATCATCATCGACTTCAAATCATCGGTTTAGAAAGTTATCAATAACTTTTTTACATTAGTGGAAAGCCATTAACAACTCAATTTTGCTCAAGCAAGGAATAGATAAGTTGTTTAAAAGCCATTGGCAACTTTGTCACATAAATGAAAGTCATCAACATCTTTATTTTTAAAACCACTAGTTGCTTCATCACATAAGTGGGAAGCCACCAGCAACTCACTTCAATAATTAGAAATCAAATAAAACTAACTTATGAGCCATTTGAGGCTTCGTTCACTCAAGTGGAAAGACATCGTTGACCTCTTTTCCAACGAGCAAAAAATATATAAAACAACTTCAAAACCACTAGAAACTTTGTCACATAAATAGAAAGCCACTAATGACTTTATTTCATCAAGCATAAATCAAATAAAACTAGTTTAGAGGCCATTAGCAACTTCGTCTATATAGGTGGGAAGTCATCGATGACTTTTTTTCAATGAACAAAAAACATATAAAATGACTTTAAAGTCATTAAAAGCTTCATCATATAAGTGGAAAGTCACCAATCACATCAATTTAATAATCAAAAATCAAATGAAATTGGCTTAGGGATCACTAGTAACTTTGTCCATATAGATGAAAAGTCACTAGTGACCATTTTTTCGACAAGTATAAAACATATAAAATGACTTTGAAACCACTAGTAGCTTCATCACATAAGTAAGAAGCCCTCAATAACTTCATTTCAATAGGAAAAAGTCAAATAAAATTAGCTTAGAGGCTACTTACGGCTTCGTCCACGTATGTGGAAAGTCACTAGTGATCTATTTTTTTGATGAGCGAGAAAACATAAAAAATGACTTCGAAACCACTAGTAGCTTCATCACATAAGTAGGAAGCCATCAAAGACTTCACTTTAATAATAAAAAATCAAATAAAATTTTTTTGGAGGTCATTGGTGGTTTCATCCACATAGGTGGGTAAAGGAAAAACATTCTATGGATGAGCGGAATAAACAACAAAAATTTATTTTCCTCCATCTAAATCGAAGATCACTATTGAATCAACTAATTATATTAAGAGATGTTTAAATCATTGCCTCTTGAATTGCGAGTATCAAGATAGTGAATTAAACTCGTCAAAGTGTCCGGTCTTTAATGAAAATTCACACAATGTAGACACTAATAAAAGAAAGTGACGGAAGAACAAGAGTGCTAGCTCCAATTTCTTTTTTCTAAGAAGATTGTCCACCAATTTTTTCTATAAAAGGAAATGGTGCAATTTTCTTTACGTAAAGGAAATTACGCACCTCTCTCTCTCTCTCTAAAGGAATTTTGGCCAACTTTCAATGTGATGAGTTATCTAGCTTGCTTGCATCATTTTCTATTTATAAACCCTATATTAGATATAATAAACTTTTCTCAAAAATTTTCATCCACTTAAAATACCCCTTAGAGGCTTTTACTTAAGCCAATTGGGCCAAACACCTTTGACCTAATGACTCAATAATTAAATGGACCATCCAAATAAGGTGGTCGGATATTTTAGGGAGACCCGATTTTGAAATCTATTTTCTAAATTACCCCATTCAGATTAAGAAACTCAATTTAGGAAACTATTTGCTAATATTTTAGGAAACCCAATATAGGAAACTATTTCCTAATATTTCAAGAAACCCAATTTAGGAAACTATTTCCTAATATTTTAAGAAACCCAATTTAGGAAACTATTTTTTATTATTTTAGAAAACTCAATATGGGAAACTATTTTCAAAATTCTCTTAGGGCTTAAAGAATTGAAATTAATTATTTTAATTC